ACTAATCACAAGAACGAGACACAGCTGGAGCAGGAGGAGGACATGGGCAACAAGGGGGAAATGTGGACTGGCTGACAACAAGGGTGTGGAGGGGAACACTAGGGTGGAGCAGACAAGACTAATACAGAACAGGTGTCACGGAAAGACTCTGGGAACAGGGAAGGACAAACAAAACAGGTGTGACAGGAAACAGGCGGGAAAACACAGAGACAGGAAGTAAAACCAGACACGACACATGAGGAGAAAATCTACAAAATATAACAGGAAACAGATTAACCATGAATGAATAACTTGGAACAAGGAACACAAGCCAAAAACTCCAAAACAAAACCTATTGACCCTTTTACTGTTAGTAAACTGTATGATGTTTCTGGTGGGCGGGGCTTAGCTGGAGGCAAAACAATTCTTCACAAACATTAGCTAGTGCTAGCTAGCAACTTCTGTTGGTTTGTTTTAGACAATGGAGGAAGATGATGTGAGTGGTGCATTCAGAAATACTCATTCTTAGTGTCAGGGTGTACTCTGGCACAAACTGGACTGTTCATGAATTCAGAGTGCTGTCTGAATGTACCATTCAGTTATTCAGAGCACCGCACTCTCGGAGTGGCAGAGCGTACTCTGGACACTCTGTCTGGAGAGACGGAGCAGCAGAGCGCCGAGTGGAGTGATTATGTGATTAACTTAACCGTTGGTTAATTCATATAGAAATATAACACTCCGTTTCTTCGACCAACAGAGCTCTCACTTCAGTGTAGAGCGTCAGACTGAGTTTACGAACGCACCATATCAGGTCACTCACTCTCCGGGACTGTGAGTGTAACTTGAATAAATTAACACTGACCAACAGGACCAGACTGGCCGACCCGTATGCTCTCACTCAGTGGATGGATGATGTCACAGGAAGCTTTGTGGTTGAATACTATGCCAATCTTACAAAGAAGGACGACACTTGAATGGTTTCCTCCGGTTTGCTTTGCTATCGAAGCTAACGTTAGCTAATGAGCTAAAACGTTAGTGTTACAGAGAAATCCAACATTCCTCTTAATAGCTCCCCAGTTTCTGATGAGGTGGACATGATAACCCTTAATACACATAACTTTATTCATCCCTACAACAGTAAATACTTTTTCCCTAACCTGATATGAAGTGTGCGCTGCACATGTGAGCATTTTTGATGATCGTCTCCGTCCAGTCCTTCATCTTATCACATTTAACCATAGTTGTCTTTGTTTTTCTTGACGGACAGTGGCATCTGGTATGCAATAAAATTTAAGTTTTGAGCCATGACTCCTTCTATTCTGGCTCCCAATAACACAACAAGACAACATTTTAAGACTCCTTTATAGCCTACAGCCCTGTGGTGGAGAGTCGTGTTTTGCCTCCAGCTAACAAACTGACGTCATTGTGGCGTCGGCCCTAAAAGGGTCTACAGGATAACAGAATATATACAAAAACCCAGGATCATGACAAACACGGCCTTGCAGCTGCATTGCATGCTGCTCTGCTGAGGAGAGATTTCTCTCTGTATTATTACTGAAACTTGATTCAAATAATTAAAAAATACCAAGTTGTGTTGAACAGTCACACAGAAGTTTAATTGTTATTGTGTCGATTCCTTTTTTTCTAAATGTTTAAAATATCAGTCACCCATGGGTACATGATGAGAATAAAACAACAACAAAGCAAAGGTTCATTTTTAAATGAAATATTTTGTTTTCATAGACAATTTTTTTTCCCTTTTTCAAAATTCATTGACCGGGAAGGTAACTTTCCAGACGTCCCCTCTGTTGGGATCCCAAAGGTTGAACAGCTCCTGCAATATTTTGGCATCCTCCAATGCATTATGGGCATCATAGTATCTGTCCAGGAAGTGCTTAGCCAGAGACTCCAGAGAATAACTGGACAGACCACGGAAGAGGTTCCTGCTTAGCAGCAAGGTGTCCANTGTGACGGCAAAGAAAAGCAGTGAAATTTATTCTGATATTTATTTCATTTATCTATTTCTGTGGCTAAAATACATTTTGCTGCTGCAGCACATTGTTTAGCTTCTGTGACGGTACTCACAGCCTGCTTCTCCAAACTGGGGGTGTGCCGACCGACATCCACTGCATGTAATACGGGAGGACTTTCCTGTTAGATATTGTGGTCAGGGTCTTGCAGCAAGAAACTTCTCTATTTTTCAAGAGAGGGGATTTTTAAAGCAGCTATACTTAATAATTTTATATTAACAACAGGTCTCATGACTATTTGTACATGGAAGGATTCGCTCGTAGTGAAAATCACCCAACTCTGCAGTTCCCCTTAGCACCATGAAGTGTTTTACCATCTTTCAGCTCACTGTTTCGTTTTCTTGTTGTTGTTTTTTTTAACCAATTTTACAGTTTTGAGTCTCTCTGCTCTCATAGTGTTGTTACCCATTATCTTTAACTAACAGTTCTTCAGAGGAATGACAGAGCAATATGGGGCCATCTCATCTTGTCATGTCCTTCAATGCCAAGTAAGGCACAAACAGCTTATGACATCCGGACAAGACATAACACATACTTCACTTCACTTCACTTCACTTCACATTCTTTCGGCTTTGTGGTATTGAGCACAGAGGCCTAAATAATTCCATTACATATGTGTGTCCATTACCTAAAAGTTTCCATTACAGTCACCTTGTAGTTGCTGGTTTTGAATCCAGTCTTTTGTATAACGTGTTTGATAATACAATTGCATAATGCATCTCTCCTAGAAATCTGTCATAAAGCAGTTGCATCCTGTGACACCGACNAATCCAGTCTTTTGTATAACGTGTTTGATAATACAATTGCATAATGCATCTCTCCTAGAAATCTGTCATAAAGCAGTTGCATCCTGTGACACCGACAGGAAGAGCATATCTGGTTTGTGTGTGGTTAGTCACAGGCGTCCTCTGGGTTGTCATCATATTGGTTTGACGTGCAATGCCAGCCAAGTGATGCTCTACCCTAACCCACTAAACGTCAAACATTCATGAACAGATGCAGATGCACATGTGAGATTAGAAACCAATAAATACAGAAACTGAATCACACTCTTAAGACTCCAGCTGATGTGACTGTAAACAGATGGAGCCTTCAGACTATTAGCTGAATTGTCATGTAGCCATACTGGTACACAATTTAGCCAGTTTACTGCTTTTAACTTGTGACAGTTTGTCAGTTGATTCCACGGCAAACTGTGCACTGAGTTAAAAATAATAGGGGATAAAAATAAGACCATTTTAGTCGTGCTGTCTACACAATAGTAGATTTCAGCACAGTTCAGTACCCATTAGAAGATCAAATATGAACCTTTGAGCTCAATAAAATAATGAATATAAAAATATTAATAAATATGTTTAACAAAGGTGTATATTATAACACCAACTGTTGTCAGATAAGGTAAATAAAAAGGGTAATATTTAATGTGATGACATTGTGACAGACTAATACCCTTTTTCCATTCTCACTCTTCGCCATGCCGAATAAAGCCATGCCGCGCCAATTTGTGTTTCCATTGTCAGTTTAGACACACTGTGCCACACCAAGCCGCGACAGTGATGGACCTTTTCAGAGCAGGTCCAAAAGCTGGGCCACCTGCCCTCAAGCAGGTAGCAGTGATGTCTCGCCGACCGCAGCCAATCCTTGACGACCCCCCTTCTTCCCCCTAAACAATCTGTGTGTGTTGCAAAACTTTACTCCCCCATGTCTGCAGGAGACCAGAGAGAAAGGTGTTTTGAAAAGTCACTGTGTGTTCAGCTCTCAGTACGTCTGAAGAGTTAAGTTTCACTTCTGCGTCCTGCTTTTAATTAAGATATCTGCAGAAGTTGTGTTAAGTTCCTGCTCGAAAACTTAACATTTCTTTATTTTGCTGCTTCACAATAAAAGTTTTTACACAACAAAATAATGGGGGACTTTTATTGTGAAGACTCTACAGGAAATGAAATGTGTTCATCACTGAATTAGTGGAACTTTGTTAGCAGCTTTTCTTCAATAAAGGCAAGGCTAATGGTGCGGCAGGGAGGAAGAGTAAAAGCAGAAACAGCCAGAGTGAGATGATGATGAAGAGCTGCAGACAACAGGCTCTTACTGCACCTGCTGCGCTGGGCTGATGAACCAAACCGAACCAAACCAAACCAAACCAAACCAAGCCATGACTGCCGAAAAGGGGTAAAAGTATTGATAAGCAGACAAACAGACATAAAGGTAATCTTACCTAATCCAGTGGTCTCCAGGTCAAAGNACATTTTAAGACTCCTTTATAGCCTACAGCCCTGTGGTGGAGAGTAGTGTTTTGCCTCCAGCTAACAAACTGACGTCATTGTGGCGTCGGCCCTAAAAGGGTCTACAGGATAACAGAATATATACAAAAACCCAGGATCATGACAAACACGGCCTTGCAGCTGCATTGCATGCTGCTCTGCTGAGGAGAGATTTCTCTCTGTATTATTACTGAAACTTGATTCAAATAATTAAAAAATACCAAGTTGTGTTGAACAGTCACACAGAAGTTTAATTGTTATTGTGTCGATTCCTTTTTTTCTAAATGTTTAAAATATCAGTCACCCATGGGTACATGATGAGAATAAAACAACAACAAAGCAAAGGTTCATTTTTAAATGAAATATTTTGTTTTCATAGACAATTTTTTTTCCCTTTTTCAAAATTCATTGACCGGGAAGGTAACTTTCCAGACGTCCCCTCTGTTGGGATCCCAAAGGTTGAACAGCTCCTGCAATATTTTGGCATCCTCCAATGCATTATGGGCATCATAGTATCTGTCCAGGAAGTGCTTAGCCAGAGACTCCAGAGAATAACTGGACAGACCACGGAAGAGGTTCCTGCTTAGCAGCAAGGTGTCCACAAACCCAGACACCACCTGCTGGAAGTGCTCCCAGAGGGAGCACTTTCGCAGCACTCTGGCGAGTATGGGTGCATCAAACTCCTTTGCATTGTGGGCCACCAGCAGAACAGGACGGCAGGAGCTCAGAAAGTTAATGAAGTCCTTGAGAGCATCATAAAGAAAGACGGTGTCCAGAGGAGTCCCGTGGCGATACAGTGTGCCTCTGCTCTGGGTAAGGCCTGTCAGCTCTGTGGCTCTTGGAGAGATGGGGCGACGGGGCAGGATGTAGGCGTTAAATTCTCTCTATCCACAGACAGCAGACAACTGGATGATATGACACCCTGGATCTGAAAGTAGAAAAGGAATGGATTTAAAGAGGAATAAAGAAAAAGAAAATATAAATAAATAAATGTTACAATGTTCAAAATTATAAAACAAGCGTATGTGCAGGACAATTTCTTAGCTGCGATGGCTGAGTTTTGTTTTATTTATCTTTGGTCAGCTATTTCCCCCATTTCCATACTTTGTGCTAAGACAACTTTCTTTTTTTAATTATTGTTATTATTATTATTGTTATTGTTATTAGGGCCCGAGCGACGACAAAGTCGTCCGCGTAGGACCCTATTGTAATTATTATTGTTGTTGTATTTTTCCAATTTTCTGCACCTTCTACTTTGGTGGCACAACCAGACTTTGATATCCATTGCTGCCACCTGACCATGGATGTATTTTCTTGCATCAAATACATAACTGCCATGCATTGTGGGTAGTATACACCTCTGGAGCGACCATTGTTGTGCACCTGCTCCCTCAGCTCTAAGAGGGTTGATCTCACCAAGTTCACTTCAGGTTTTCAGACAAATGGAACGGCACTTAAGATGGCGGCGGGGATTACCCAGAGGCCAAGTGCTGAGCGGAAGTCAGCGAGGGCATGTTGAATGACTAATGAAATGCAGCTAGTGTGACATATCTTTTGGACAGCCACTGCATACGCATACTAATTAAACATAAAAAAGTTTTCTGTTGTGACATCCTGCCAACAGTGTGACGGTAATGCTTCTTTTTATAGAAACTTATGAGTCGTTTAACACAAAGTCGAAACCACTCACTCAGACACTTCAAAGTAACAATGTAATCCGTTCTCTCAACATCTGGTTTCAGTCCTTTAAAGATGTGGTTTTGACAGGAAGGGTAATTTTGACACACGTACTCAACAGCCAGGGCACTTTATCCATTATTAATATAAATATATTGATTTAAAGAAGCCTGAGGGGTTCTTAAGCCCTGTTTCCACCAAACACTTTTGGTATGGTACCTTTGGAACTAAAAGTAACCCCACAGACATGGTGCCTAGACCCAGGTCCATTTAGCGTGTCCTCTGCAAACAGTACTCTGAGTAATAACACAGAGTGATATAACCGCCTCAGTTCCCCATTCGAAAATTGCCGTGTGGCGGCAAAGAAAAGCAGTGAAATTTATTCTGATATTTATTTCATTTATCTATTTCTGTGGCTAAAATACATTTTGCTGCTGCAGCACATTGCTTAGCTTCTGTGACGGTACTCACAGCCTGCTTCTCCAAACTGGGGGCATGCCGACCGACATCCACTGCATGTAATACACTGACTGTGGATAAGTACCTCATTAAACCTTTCTTCAAATGATCCAAACTATCTCTTTGACGGGACTCTGGTGCATAACCAACAACTCTTTGCACTTTCTTCCCATTTTTATTTTCAGAATCATTTTCCGAGCTTTGCTTGTTGCAGGAGGACTTTCCTGTTAGATATTGTGGTCAGCGTCTTGCAGCAGGAAACAGGGAAACTTTTCTATTTTTCAAGAGAGGGGATTTTTAAAGAAGCTGTATTCAATAGTTTTATATTAACAACAGATCTCATGACTACTAGTACATGGAAGGAGTCGCTCGTAGTGGAAATCACCCAACTCTGCAGTTCCCCTTAGCACCATGAAGTGTTTTACCATCTTTAAGCTCACTGTTTTGTTTTGTTGTTTGTTTTTAAATCAGTTTTACAGTTTTGAGTCTCTCTGCTCTCATAGTGTTGTTGTCTGCCACAGCAGGCAGCTGTGGCAGACAACAAAGCTCTGAAAGGTAACTGTACACCACCTGCTCAGCACCAAACAGCAGACAGTTTTAATGATCAGCTGGTGAACAAAAGCTCCATTTCCACCAAACACTTTCAGTATGGTACCTTTGGAACCAAAGTAACCCTTCAGACATGGTACCTAGACCCTAGAGTTTCCACCACAAACAGTACTCATTACTAAAAGTGTATGTCATATAAAATCTAAAGAATTGGTCAAAGTTGTTAAAGTGGAACTTAAAGTGTGTTGACTGATTCATGTTGTCAGTTCATGCATTGAGTAACATTACAAGTTAATGTTCCACCTTAAAAGTTGCCAGCAGTCGGCCCAGTGAATTAAGTTCTCTCAGACTACAGCTGCTGCAAGACGCAGCAAAACATAATTTCATTTTATAGTTACAGTTTACTAATAAAGTGTACTACTAAATACTAACAATCAGCTGGTGAACAAAAGCTCAATTTCCACCAAACACTTTCAGTATGGTACCTTTGGAACCAACAGTAACCCTTCAGACATGGTACCTAGACCCTAGAGTTTCCACCACAAACAGTACTCTTAAATGTGGGTGGGGTTGTTGTCACTCACTGCTCCGTCCAGCACTCACTGTATTTCCTCCTTCATCAGTCTGCACGTCGTTTAACGTCCACAGAACGAGGCTGCACGCTGACATTTTCAGGACAAAATACAACAGGCTGCAGTGAGAGTCTCTCTCCATGGGATATTTGAAAATAGCGGGTTTTTGTGTTTAGTCCTTCTCAGGCAAACTCAGGGGTTTAATGTTGCCGGAGCCCACAGGAAGGATGCTCCACTATGCTTTTTTTTTTTCCTCTGAGTGAGGATTACAATATATACAGTTCACATAACCCGCTCAAAATGAATGTATATTTTTAAGCCCTTGATGATCCACTCATTACGAAAAGTGTATGTCATATAAAAACTGAAGCAATGGTCAAAGTTGTCATATTGAAATTTAAGGTGGGTTGATGGAGTCACGTCGTCAACTCATGCATTGAGTAACATTACAAGTTAACGTTTGACCCTAAAAGTCACCGGCAGTCGGCCCAGTGAATTAAGTTGTTTTCTCAGACTACAGCTGCTGCAAGAGGCAGCAAAACATCCTTTATTTCATAGTTCCACTGTATGAACAGTGGTAACATGAGCCTCAAAACCAGCCACAACTCAGCCCTGAGCAGAGTGACCGTCCTCTATTGACCAATCAACAGACTGCAGTGTTCACAGCTCCAATCTGTGTGCCAGGTACCCCAACAGAGGGGGGACCAAAAATGGGGACGGTATGGAACGGTTCCATTGGTACCATCCACAACTTTTCACAATGGAAACAGAAATAAAGCATTCCGAACTGAACTGTACCGAATGACAGAGCAATATGGGGCCATCTTATCTTGTCATGTCCTTCAACACCAAGTAAGGCACAGACAGCTAATGACATCCGGACAAGACATGTTCACATCACATTCTTTCGGCTTTGTGGTATTGAGCACAGAGGCCTAAATAATTCCATTACATATGTGTGTCCATCACCTAAAAGTTTCCATTATAGTCACCTTGTAGTTGCTGGTTTTGAATCCAGTCTTTTGTATAACGTGTTTGATAATACAATTTGCGAATTGCATCTCTCCTAGAAATCTGTCATAAAGCAGTTGCATCCTGTGACACCAACAGGAAGAGCATATCTGGTTTGTGTGTGGTTAGTCACAGGCGTCCTCTGGGTTGTCATCATATTGGTTTGACGTGTAATGCCAGCCAAGTGATGCTCCACCCTAACCCACTAAACGTTAATTCGTCAAACATTCATGAACAGAGGCAGATGCATATGTGAGATTAGAAACCAATAAGTACAGAAACTGAATCACACTCTTAAGGGAAATTTTGGTTTATTTCAACCTGTCTCCTATCGTCCTAAATTTGTTTCAAGTTACTAGTGACAAAGAAATAATAGTTAGCATGTTAGCCGTTAGCCTAGATACAGCCGTAAATAAGGGCGGCCATAAAACTCTGCAAAATCAAATTCCTCCTCCACAAAGTCGAAGTCTGGCAAAAAGTCAGCCATTATTCTATAAATCTTTCATAAAATAAATGAATGAACCTTTCAGGCTACTGTCTGGTTCTGATTTCAGACACAGTATTAGATCGCTGCTTGTTCTTGCGATATTTCGGCCGCACTTTGGGAAGCAGAGGTAAACAGTAAACACACCGTCAGGTAAGACAACAACTCTGAAGACCACCTAAATGTGGAATGTTAGTATATAGGCTTTCCACATCGAGAGTCGATGGCCGCCCTTATTTATTTGAGCCAGAATGCACTGACGAAGAGCTTTGTGAAACTGAAGAATGGAGGAGGAGAGAGAGAGAGGCACAAAAGGTAGAGGACGAGAGAGGAGGAATGGCTGCTGGAAGGATTTAGCTCTGGAGATTGGTGGTGTAACGTTGCCTGTGAATGCTGTACCCCAATGCCCACAGAAGAGGAATGCCTCTGTTGCAAGGAATGGGACCGGATGCAGCCTTAGCTAAATGGTAAACAACAAACACGGCACCACACCGGTAAGGTAAGACAACACATTTACATGTCGTTTTCTATATGTTCTCTGACATTTATCCTAACGATATGAGGCGGTCTTTGTGGAGAAAAAGCTTGTTTAGTGGATTAACTTTGCACTTGAAAGGATGCCCGTTCAATTACGTTTTAACAGGTCTGACGCTACGGCTGTATCTAGGCTAACAGCTAACAGCTAACATGCTAACTATTATTTCTATGTCACTAGTGACTTGAAACAAATTTAGGACGATAGGAGACGGGTTGAAATAAACCGAAATTTCCCTTTAAGACTCAAGTTAACTTGTGACAGTTTGTCAGTTGATTCCACGCCAAACTGTGCACTAAAACCATTTTAGTCGTGCTGTCTACACAATAGTAGATTTCAGCACGGTTCAGTACCCATTAGAAGATCAAATATGAACCTTTGAGCTCAATAAAATAATGAATATAAAAATAATAAATATTGTTTAACAAAGGTGTATATTATAACACCAACTGTTGTCAGATAAGATAAATAAAAAGGGTAATATTTAATGTGATGACATTGTGACAGACTAATACCCTTTTCCCATTCTCACTCTTCGCCATGCCGAATAAAGCCATGCCGTACCAATTTGTGTTTCCATTGTCAGTTTAGACACGCTGTGCCGCACCAAGCCGCAACAGTGATGGACCTTTTCAGAGCAGGTCCAAAAGCTGGCCCAAGCGGGTAGCGGTGATGTCTCACCGACCGCAGCCAACCCTTGACGACCCCCCTTCTTCCCCCTAAACAATCTGTGTGTGTTGCAAAACTTTACTCCCCCATGTCTGCAGGAGACCAGAGAGAAAGGCGTTTTGAAAAGTCACTGTGTGTTCAGCTCTCAGTACGTCTGTAGAGTTAAGTTTCTCTCCTGTGTCCTGTTTTTAACTTTAGATATCTGCAGAAGTTGTGTTAAGTTCCTGCTTGAAAACTTAACATTTCTTTATTTTGCTGTTTCACAATAAGAGTTTTTACATAACAAAATAATTGGGGACTTTTATTGTGAAGACTCTACAGGAAATGAAATGTGTTCATCACTGAATTAGTGGAACTTTGTGAGCAGCTTTTCTTCAATAAAGGCAAGGCTAATGGTGCGGCAGGGAGGAAGAGTAAAAGCAGAAACAGCCAGAGTGAGATGATGATGAAGAGCTGCAGACAACAGGCTCTTACTGCACCTGCTGCACAGGGCTGACGAACCAAACCAAACCAAACCAAGCCAAGCCAAACCATGACTGCCGAAAAGGGGTAAAAGTATTGATAAGCAGACAAACAGACATAAAGGTAATCTTACCTAATCCAGTGGTCTCCAGGTCAAAGAAAACAATGATCGACATCTGCAAAGATTTAAAGAGACAGAAATTTGAACATGAACTTACACATCCTACAGTCACGTCTGATACGTCTGACAATGCATTGATATAATATTAGCTTTCACAGTTTAAGATGGCGTTTAAAGCTAAACAATGTATAGATTCATACAGAAGCAATCCCTCTCAATCACCAACCCAGTAGACGTGTGTGGCGTAGTGATGCACGGGTCAGGGTTTTGTTAATCAGTGACCCAAACATTCAAACCAAAGCTGAAAGTTCCTGGCAATAACCTGCTGTTGACTGTACTGCATTAAGTTCACAGTAAATGTCACAATATCAAACGTGTGTTTTCCGTAGAGGGACAGCAAGTACATACTCATCTTTAAAGTGGTTAGGGACTGTTTGTTATTAATGAGGGGGGAGGGGTTGGTGCACAACAGGGAAGGGATGTCTCATAATTATTCAAGCACTAGGGAGGGACGTTTTCATTTTGACGAAGGGGACGGACATCCTTCTTCAAATGGTTGTATCTTGTATTCATTTTAAATAACATCTGAACCCTAAAACCTGCTGACAGGTTTGAAAGGCATTTTTCTCTAAAAAATGCCAAAATTACACCATTTATCATCGACCAGAAACACTCGATTTTCAAATTTCCAACAGTTCTTGAACACGTCATGCTTCTGCCAGGAAACACAACCAAACCTAAGCTTAAATATTTCATCAAAACTATGTTTCATCACTTTAAAATGTTGCCAAAAACAACCATTTGCACAAACCAAATCCTTAAAAAAGGCATTTTAGATTCAACTTTTAGTTTTAACTTTCAAACATCACCACGCAAAGTTACTGTTATTAGGCTGTTCTGGCTGGCCACTGCTGCCACTGTTGTGTACAGTTTATTTGGGAAATAAGTCATTATGCACTCGGCCCTCTCAACTGCCGTGTCACCACTGAGAGAGCGGAGTACGAGGAAGGTTCCTGTAAAGTTACGGGCTCTGGATGTGACGTAATCGCTGCGCGACCATTTACCGGGGCGACGTAGGGACGCCGTTAGCTGTTAGCCCTTAGCGGTGTCTGTAATAACTCACTAAAAGGCCCGTGAAAAAAAAAAAAAAATTCCAGCGGATGTCTTAGTTACAACATGATTGAGCTAACTGGAGTAGTTTCATGTCCGACAACGGGAGGCTTTTAACAGATGACGTCCTGATGTTAGCTTTGCTGCTGCTGTTAGCTGTCCCTGTCAGCTGCAGCCACTGATGCTTTCTAGACATCGTGATTTCCCAAAACTGAATAAATACCACACATAAACACAAAACTGCTTTGCTAGCTCAATCATGTTGTAACTAAGATATCCGCTGGAAAAAATATTTTTTTCACGGGCCATTTAGTGAGTTTTTTACATGTCGGCGGAAGCTATATGAACGAGCTAACCCTCGTCTGCTGAGTTTTAAAAATGCTGTTTTGTTGCTTTCTGCTGACATCACATCCCGCCTTGAGTATATCCAATCAGCACCAAGTAAATCCCAAGCCCCAGCCTGGAGTCTTTTGGGGCTGTTCTGAGTACCTACTCCGAGGCAGGGACTTGTTTATCCCCCGTAAAAGTTCCGGAACTCTGTCCTTCGGGGGTGGTTCCTGCAGTGGAGACACGCACCAACGGCCCCGGCCCCGTAAAATTACGCCGAAGTTCCTGCGGTGGAAACAGGCCTACTCACACACACAGAATTTCGTCATGGGCAAAGCTACTTGGCCTTTCGTGTTGTCAGTTTTCTGAGGGCACGAAGGCCAAAAGCCAGGGCAGCAAGGCCATAAAATAAAACAATGATTTTAAGTCCACGTCCATAATGAATTTGATTTAAGGACTAAGGATGTATAACTATGTGTGAAATGAATAAATAAAACAAGCTCAAGTAATAATAATGAGTATAATAAGTAATAATGTACTAATAAACCCAATGTGTTTTAAATACAGAACAACCAGGTTTATGTATTTATAAGCAGACAATCTTAAATATTAAGCCTAATGATAAACTGATTCACTGAATAAGACTGGCTGACAATTATTTTTGATGTGTTGTTAGATAGCCAACAAACAAACTACAGCAGGATTATTCAATTAATATTTCAACTGGGCCGCATTTCAAAACCAGATCATGTCAATGGGCCACATTTTTAGCTGTGAGCATACATATATATATTTATATACATACACAGGCATGGCCCTCCTCAACATGATGCAGAAACAGACTAAAAGAGAGCTGTCAATGCACAGAAGCATAATAAGTGACATTAACAGTATCTAATAACACACACTATCTCTCTACCAGCATCTCGCTCTCTCCTCTTCTCCACACACACACGTGCACACACTTCACCTCCTGATGCTTTCCTTATAGGTCAGTTACACAGGATATAGTTTTATACAGTCCATGGCAGCAACAG